CCACCTCCAACTAATGTACTTGTATGGAGTTCTCCTACCAACGAGCCAGTTAAAATCATGTTTAACTGTATAACTTCCCTCCAAACTGCTTGATCAAATAAACTTATCCTCAACATTACTACTAATTGCAAGTTAGATTGATGAATGACTGAAGTAATTGATGTTGGTATCAAAGTGGAAATTTGAGAAAAAAAATCTACCTTTGTTGGGTCTAAACGTCCTTAACTTGCAGCTCTATATCTTGAATGTTGATATAAGAAGTATAATCACATAATTTGCCCAATTCCAACTAGTCATGATACTACAAAGAAACTTGCCTATTATCAAGTCAAAAATTAAACTGATCTCATGATATTTTTAGCCTTTTTTTTTACTTGTCAAGAGTGAAACCCTCTATCTTTATTATCATCTAATAAATTATCTTTCTTCACATATTTTTCTACAAAGCAATTGGACCTAGAGTTTATCTTTTTTGTTCATTATATCCTAAACTCTTTTACCCAATAAAGCCACATTAGTTTTCCTAGTTGTTCTTAGACCAAGCCCACCATCTTGGGTTTTATGAGTGATTATGTCCTAGTTCACTAGGTTAATTCTCTTTCCATCATTATTCTTTCAAAGAAAATCACACACACACTTATCAAGTTAATACACTTGTAGGTAGTATGTTGGAATTGTTGTGATGATTAACTTAATTAGAGTGAAACGTCCTACTTTATTATGGAAATCAAACTTTCAATTAGAAAACTTATGTTGAATTTTCTCCACAATGAAGTCAAAGTGTCTTCTTTTCACTCTACTTGAAATCATTAGAAAGCCAGATACTTGCCAAGAGAAGTAAAACAAATACCGAAATTAAATGTGAGCATGACTTGTTTCTGACCATATACCAGGAAGAGTATAAGCCCGAGATTTTATCTAGTCAACCTTTAGACCATACATAACACTAAATCGGTCGAGAATTTCCTTTATGATTATGATTTGAGAGTTTTTAGCTTTGGCAAATAAAAACACATCATCAACAAAAAGAAAATGGGATATAACTTGGTCATTTTTGCTAACCTTAACTCGTTGCCATTGATTATTCTTCACATAATCTTCTATAGTAAGAATCAACATCTTCATACACAAAAGGAAGATAAATGAAGAGAGTGGATCACCTTGTCAGGGGCCGCGAGTTGAAGAAAATGAAGAAAGCTTATTCATATTATATAAAACACTCAAGGATGGGGTAGTAACATAGTGTATAATAAGAGCCACTATTTTATTTGGAAACTCAACGTTTAGGAAGATATGCCTTAAGAATTCTCAATCAATGTGATCGATCATAAACCTTTTGTAGTTCTAATTTAAAGGCAACATCCCCTTTTTCCTCTTGGATTTGTGCATTATATGAAGGATTTCGTGCAAAATAAGTGCATTGTTCGTAGTACCCTAGCTTGGGAGGAAACTACTCTGGAAAGGTCAAATGAAGTCATTAAGGATAGGTTTCAACCTATTAACAAGCACCTCTATAATGATTTTGTAAAGGACATTGTAAAGGCTAATAAGTTAGAATTCCTTGAAATTGCTAGGATAATCCACTTTTGGGATAAGAGAGATAAGAGTCTCTGAGAGCATGCGATCAAAAGTATCTTAAAAGCATCATTAACTAGTTTGCTTATATCGCTACCTACTTCATATCAATATTGTTTATAGACAATTGCTTTGAACTCATCAGGCCTAAGAGCCTTGTTGCAGGGGGTGCATAACATGGAAAGCTAAGGAGACATTTTCTTTTGTTATAGGCTGCTCCTAATTGAAAGCATCTTCATGTGTGATTGTTGGGGTATTATTTAGATGGAATGATTCATTTGTAACATGAAACTGATCGTGAAAATTATTTGCAAAGACCCTATGAATTTCTTCTTGTAAAATAAAATAATTAGAATACCATATGTCATTAGGAAGAGTGAGACAATGAATCTTATTCCTTCTCTTTATAATTATAGTTTGGGCATGAAAAAAACAAGGTGTTACAGTCCCCAAGCTTAATCTAATTCTTTCTAGACTTTTGGTACCATATGAGATCCTCCTGAAAAAGAACTTTGTTGTACTCATATTGTAGCTGCCTTTTAAGACAAGTGAGATAAGTTGAGTCAACTTTCTAACTGCCTTTGAATCTCTCTAATTTTGGCTTCAATGTTTCTCTTGTTTTGAATCATATTACCAAATATCTCATTGTTAAAAATGATAAAATCCTTTTTGACCTTATCAAATGATAAAAAAGAACTTCCCTTACCTTTCTTCTAGGCCTTAGAAACAATTGAATCATAGTATTTGTAAACTATTCAAGCTACTTGAAAGTAAAAAGGTCAGAGCACAGGCACCTGGAGAAAGCCCTTATATCTTAAAAAGAGAAAACTATGATCAGAGGGCAAAAGAGTAAGTATTTCCACAAAGGCTTCTGAAAAGCTTTTTGACCAAGTGTTTGGGATAAGAAAAATTTTCTAAGTTAAAAATCATTTTGAAGGAAATTACATTTCGACAAAATTTTGAGGGACAAGAAGGAGCCAAAGATAAGCCTGAACATAAGAGAATATTAGAAGATTATCTAAGATCTTTAGTTTTAATTAAAAGGGACACATTTCGAGCTATTTTAGGAGATTTTTGTCACATTGTTAATTTTTCTCTAAACCGCTTGAAAGACAAGAAAATATTCTAAGACCACAAAACTAAAGGCTTTTTTTGAGGAGTTTTGAGGAGTTTTCAAATCACTGACACCCAAAACTACTCGAACAATAGAACTGGCAAGAAAATATTCAAAGTCCACAAAACTGATGGCTTTTCGAGGAGTTTTTGAGGAGTTTTCAAGTCCCTGACACCCAAAACTGCTCGAAAAACAGGACTAACAGAAAAATATTCTAAGTTCACAAAAATTGATGGCTTTTCGAGGAGTTTTTTAGGAGTTTCTAAGTCCCTAACACCCAAAATTACTCAAAAAATAAGAAGTGGTTAGAAAATATTCTAAAGTCCACAAACCTGGCTGAGATCCAGATTTCCTCCAGAATTGCTCTAAAAAAAGGAAGTGGTCAGAAAATATTTTAAGTCCACAAACCTAGCTGAGCTCCAGATTTCATCCAGAATTGCTCAAAAAATAAGAAGTGGTCAGAAAATATTCTAAGTCCACAAACCTGGTCGAGCTCCAGAGTCCCTCCAGAATTGCTTGAAAAACAGAAATGAGCAAAGAAAATGTTCTAAGTCCACAAGACCAAGACAAGCTCTCAAAACTCCAGAATGGCTCGAAAAGAGAAGTCAAGAAGAAACTATTCTAAGGCCATAACATTAAAGGAGCATCTTAGGTTTCTCCCAGAAATACTCGAAAAATAGAAAAAACACGAGTCTTGATAGATCAAGTCGTTGAAAAAATCTAAAAGCAGTTAGTTACCAGCAGTTATCAACATTCACCACTACGCAAAGGAGATCGTGGGCGATAGCGGTTAGAAAGAAGCCCCAACCAACAACACAATCACAAGCAATTGTGGATAATGGGCATCAACAGTTGAAGGTAGTTACTAAGAAGTGCCCGCAAAAGAAGGAGAACGGTGGTGGTCTTCATGTCTATAAATACTCCAAAACACCATTGTACAAAGGACGACTTTTTGCACCCTAACACCGCACCTAAACTCTTTGAGACGCTGAAACCCTGCACCGCGCCAGATACCAGTTACAAGGAGACATTACGGTTGTTGCTGTTCATTGCTAGGAGTCGTACATTTACATTCACGCACCTTTACATTCTCGCATTTACATTTCCGCATTTTAATTCCAGCTTGCTGCTTATTTCAATTATTGCAATTCATTTCCTATTTAGTGCTTTTCTGTAAAGAACATCTACATTTGAGTCAATTCTGCCCATTTATTATTCATTATTCTTGCTTAATACTTTTTACGCGTCTATTTCACCGTTACTTAACAACACACTTAAAAGAACCCAAAGAGGACCTAAATTCAGTCTCCAGATTGATCTTTGGATTATTTGTTTACAATTGTCATTTTTCACCATAAATACCAAGGTAGATTTGCCACACCTTATTCTAATATATTCTAAATAATGCGTTGACCATTGTGATTTCAATGCCAAGTGAATATGTAACCTAATGAATGAATATTGGTTAAGCCACACTAATTAAGCTTGATATTAAACATCAAAGTCTTGTTGTATAAATAAATCTCACATTTTTGCTCAAAAAAAAATTACACCTTGTTAAAGTCTTCATAGAGTAAAAGAATTAGCATGAATACCTCTTAAGGTTATCTAAGTCTTTTCTCTCTAGTGACTACGAAGCTAACATAAATACAAGTGTAATATAATTCTTTGTTCATTACTTATATTTTAATTGTGATAAAATAAAAATCAATATTAGTGACCACAAGACTGAACTTATTACCTTTTGTTATTAAATTTATTATTAATTTATCATTTTTTATTTTTGAAAATCACTTCCACTTTATGAATAATCTTTTAGATACAATTTTTAGACTTTTAGTTTTAAATAATTTATATATTTTATAGTTTATTTTTATATATATATATATAAAAGCATTTCTATGTTACAATTTAATTTTAATGTTAATTTATTTAAAGTGTTGCTTTATATAATTTACGTTTATTAATAGAAAATTATCAATCATGATTAAAAAATCAAAAGTAATTTTTTTCTAAAAATTGTAACATAAAATACTAGTAATATACTTGCTTAAACATATTTTTATTATTAACTAAAATTAATTAAAAATTATATAATTTTTATTGCTAATTTAGCAATTTTCATTTGTATATTTTAAGTTTTGAAAATTTTCAACAAGGTAGAATATGTTAAAAAATATATTTATAGCACTTCTCAAACGTATCCATAATTTTTTTAAAGCATTTTAACATAATTTTCAATAAAAATGTTTAATTAATTTTTTAATCACAGCTTTATGAATAGTCTTCAAGGCCTAAACGTATTAGAAATGAAATATGTAAACCGAGTGAGAGGACACTGACAGTTTTTGAGAAGCGAAGACCCGAGTCCACCATGGCCGATCATCCTCACCACCACCAACATCGACCGCACCGCCTCTCCGTGCCACCGCGGAACACCACTTTCGCCGCCACACCGAGGCCGTACCCTTCTTCATTCCGATACTCAACACCAACATCAACGTCAATACAAACACCCACTCCAACACCCTCCAAAAACCGTCGTCTTTCTTCTCTCTCTTTCTCCAAACCCAAATCCAAATCTTCCTTTTCCTCTCTCTTCCTTCTTCTCTTCTCCCTTCGCTCCCTCTATTCCCTTCTTCCCTTCCTTCGGTCTTCTCCTTCCTTTTCCCTCTTCCCTTTCTCTTTTCTGGTTTCCCTTCTCTCCTTCTTCCTCACCCTTTCCTTTTCTTTCTTCCCTTCTTCTTCTAAACATCCTTTTCAACAACACAACCCTAACCCTAAGCACCCTCTTTTTATGTTATCCTCTCTCACTCACCCTCAGCAGAGAACCCTGCTCGCTAAATCCATTGTTCTCGCGTTGGTCTTTCTCCTTCGCTTTCAAGCTCTTCGTTACTGTGGCACTGCCTCAATGATTCTCGCTGAGTTTATGGGAAGCATTGCTGCGCAACCCAAAAATCAGAACCGGACTGGGTTGCCTAAGGTTCGTGGGTTCGTGTCTTTGTTTTTGGGATTGTTCATGTTGTCGTTTGGTTGGGATCGAATTGAATGTTTTCCCTTTTGGGGAAACCCCGATTGTGTGAGTGTGAGGGTTTGGCCTTTGTTGCTTGGTTTTATGTCTGGTTTTCTAGCTTGTTATGAACGTGTTTCTATCATGGATTGGGGAATGGTTAAACAGCTTGGTCATAAACGGGTGCGTCTCATTACCCTGTTTTTTACTACTGTTGTGCTCTTTGTTCCTGCTGTGATTAGTTTTTTCATGTTTGAATCGGAAGAAGATAGCGTTACCTTTGGGAGTTTGGTGTGGCCTCTGGTCAATACTGTTGTCTTTGGTGTACTTTTGAGTGAGAACTATTGCAGTTATGATGATTTGGTGACTTTCAAAGATTCTCAGAGGGAGTTTTTGGTCACTTTTGTCTGCACCCTTGTCTTGGAACTTTTTTATTACCCTCAACTTTCACTTTGGGGTTTGTTGCTTTGTGGTTTGTTGCTCTATGTGGCCGTGAGAGATTTGGATCCTTTCCGTTCTGATGAGGTTGGGTCCCGGGAGGAGTTGTTAAGTGACATGATTATGAAGCCTATTAGACATGTTTTGGGTGAGAGGAAGTCGCGGAAAATTGCGCTTTTTCTTTTGATCAATGCTGGGTATATGGTTGTGGAATTTGCTGCTGGATTTATGAGTAATAGTCTTGGGCTCATATCTGATGCATGTCACATGTTGTTTGATTGTGCTGCTTTGGCCATTGGGCTGTATGCTTCTTATATATCTCGTTTGCCTGCAAATAGTCACTATAACTACGGACGAGGAAGATTTGAGGTTCTATCAGGATATACTAATGCTGTTTTTCTGGTTCTTGTGGGAGCACTGATAGTGGTTGAATCCTTTGAAAGGATATTGGATCCTCAAGAGATATCAACTAATAGTTTGTTGGTTGTCTCTATAGGAGGGCTTGTTGTCAATGTCATTGGCTTGATATTCTTTCATGAGGAGCATCATCATGCACATGGATTGTCTGGATCATGTTCACATTCACATTCTCATTCTCATTCTCATTCACATTCACATTCACATTCTCATTCTCACTCACACACAGACTCAGAGTTCCATAGTCACCACCCCCACCAACATCATGACCTGCATTGCCATGGTAAGCATCATTGTGAAAGACATGGAAGCAGTCAAGAATTTATTTCTGTTTCCAGTGATTGCCAAGACAATTCATGTTCTAGTGATCCTGGCCATCACAACCTCTGTAGTCACGAGAGAAAGGCTGAGTTTCATGCAGACAATGATTGCATTCAGAAGTTTAAGCATGACCATACCCAGCACAATCATGAGAGGACGGCTGAGTATCATGAAGATAATCACAGTAATCAGAGCTTTAAGCATCACGACAATGCCTGGCAGCTTGGCCACCATGACCATGTTGAACATCATGATCAGACTGACCACAGTTGTCATGATCATGAAGCCTCACATGTTCACCAAGCGCACAACCATCACCATATTGATCACAATATGGAAGGAATATTTTTGCACGTTCTTGCTGACACAATGGGGAGTGTTGGCGTTGTTATATCTACCCTATTAATTAAGTACAAGGGATGGCTTAGTGCTGATCCTGCTTGCTCAATTTTTATTTCAGTTTTAATTATATCCTCCGTGATACCTCTACTCAGAAATTCAGCTGAAATTCTGCTCCAAAGAGTTCCAAGGTTGCGTGAGCATGAGTTGACAGATGCCTTAACTAATGTTTTGAAGTTAAGGGGTGTTTATGACATCCAAAAGTTTCATTTATGGAGCTTCACAAACACAGATGTAGTTGGTACTTTGCATCTTCACGTTTCAACAGATACTGACAAGACATCCACCAAGTCTCAGGTTTTCCATCTGTTACATAATGCTGGAATCAAGGATTTAACCTTGCAAGTAGAATGTGTTGGATAACTTTTTATTATGTAGTTTTTTCCTTAACTGACTTACTTGTGAAGGTTGTTAAGATCAGAGATCGAAATTTCCTGATCATTGTCATACGGAATGCTTTATAATGGTTACCAACAAATATCTATTTATTTTCATTTGTGACACCACTGTATAACTTGTGAGATGGTATAACTTGTGAAATAATTGTATCATCAAGTCATGCACGAGTTTCAATTCCTGAAACTATCCAAAGAGAGACTGATAAACAGCTAGATTCAAAAGAAGATCATGGCCAAAGGTGAAACTACCAATGCCGTCCCTTTTTACAAACTTTTCTCTTTTGGAGACTCTTTATATCATGCATTGATGTTTGTGGGGACAATCAATGCGGTTGGAAATGGACTTGCCACTCCCCCAATGATTCATATTTTTGGAAATTGAATTGATGCATTTGGGAAAACCACAAACCCCAAAGAAGGGGTTCATGATGTTTCTAAGGTACTTCCGTCACTGCTAATCTGTATCCAAAACAAAGAATTTCAAATTGTAAGGTTCCGATTTTATAAACTTTCAAATTTTTTCATGTGATAATGAATTAATGGTTTTTTACCCACTGGTTTTGATTTGTGATATTGTTATTAGATTGAGTTTCCTTGCTACATTATTTCCCTTTTCATTTTCCTTGTTCTGGGATTTTCGGTTTTGACTAATATTTTACAAACCCAAAGCTTTTCTGTTCCTTTCTTCTCCCTTTTTCTATCCAAAACATAACCCTCTAGTTATAATATACTTAGATGAAACCATAATAAAAGATGTGAATATAGGAACTTCATCAGATTTGATGTCCTCATTTAACCATAAGCCTTTGTTTAGAATGTTGCGCCAGCATGAGTGTACTGTGTAGTGCATAATATGGCATAATGTAGTTTGGTCAATACGGTTGGCCAGGAATCAATTTATTTTTGGATCCAATATCGTCAATGCATCTGATAATTATACCGGGTTACGCATAGATATGGTGGTTACTTAAAGTGAAATGGAATGAATTTTGTCAATCATTATCAATGTGATTCACTGTCTGTGGTAACTAGTTTAAGGAAGGTATTTGTATGCTGTTCTCCATATCAGTTTAATTTGGTACTGTAATTTGATATCTGGAAATGGTGGTATTTTCAGCTCGGGCATTGCAGAAATCCTTTTTCAAATCAAGCCTTGTGTATTGAAGCAAAGATATTTTATGTTTTGTATAGCAGTAAGCCAGTAACCAATATACTTCTTCAAAATATGGAGATGGTATCAAATTGATTGAAATGGAAGCATCCGGGTCACAATAACTCTGATAGTGGACTTGGTCCCCTGCCTTCTCTATTCTATACTTACTATAAAGAAAGGGTCTTTTACTTTGCCTTTTTATCTAATGTATTTTTGACGTTTTGCCTTTTTATGTTAAAAATTCTTTCACGTTATTTAATTTATTATTTGTTCACTCTTCCTCTTTACCAATACATTTTCACTTCCTCTTTACCCTAAACCTATCCCCTAAACATGTCTCCAACCCCTTGCTTCCCAACACAAGATGTTCATTATCGTACTTCACCTAAAAAATAAGTTAATGTGTATTAGTATCCATAGCGGATAATGTATGCCCAAGTTCTTGCCAAATAATAACAAAATTTAAAAGGAAAAACTAAATAAAAAAATCGTAAGGACCAGAATTTTCACATAATAATATTCCTATATTTTTTCATGTCCAGAATTTTTCTTGCTTTATTTCTTTTCGGTTTGAAATTTTTATTTTAAATTCACCTTTCTGTTTTTACAGACATGCAAACATAGGGTACCATTACTTATGACCATAGATTCCTCCATCAAATTTTGATTGTGCTGTGAAATATAAACTGCTGCACGGTCAATATTAAACTACGTATACTTATCAGACCAAAAGCTAAACGTCAATACGTATATTTAAAAGATACGAAAATTATAAGGGATAATGGGGATGTTGTGTTGGAATAGTAAGTTGGAACCCTATAGAACACGTTCGATGAGCTGAACCTTTTGAAATTCTTTACTTGCTTCGTTACATTTTGTTGTCCCCGTTTAGTCCTCAAATAAGTTATCTTGCTATGAGATGATGACATATTTGTTCATGGAGAATAAAGATGAATCATGGAGTTCTGCTCATATCCACCAGTCTCAATGGCTTCAAACAACCATAACAGGTCTCTCTCTCTCTCTCTCTCTCTCTCTCTCTCTGGGTCATTCATTACAGATACACATGCATGCAGGCATAGGAGTAACAGTCCTGCATGTTGAACGGTAAACTTTTGTGCAACTAGTATTCCCGTTTTTAACAAGTTGTTAGCTTTCTTTGACTTTGTGGATCGAAAACATAGAATAAAGTTGCATATCATAAAGTTGGCTAAGTCATGAGGGTGGGTGTGGGTTTGACCAAGGCTAGAAAATACACGCCCAAATGTTTGACTCGATTAAACACTGTCCCTCCAGCAAAAAAAAAAATGGTTTATCAAAGGCTGACAGCAAGTACATATGAAATGTATGTTGCACGAGACTTATCAAGCAGTCATATAGCCATTACATTCAATGTATATGTTGTACAAGATATATTAATAAGCACTTAAGCAGTATTATAACCAAAGGTCGAGTAAAAAGGCAGTGGCGTCAGAGTAAAAAACACACTAACAGTACATTAAGTAATGTTATATCGGTTAATAAGGTTTCCTAATTACTAATTAGGCATTTTTGGCCCCTTAAAACACCTTAGCCGTCTTCATAGGGAGACCCCTCTGATCCAAATTTCTGGGTTTAAGTCTGGGATTTCTGTTATTTATAGGAGTTCCTGAGTGTAAACACATTCTTGGAATCTTCACAGGGTCTTTGACCGGTTATATTGCAGTTTTCACTCACAAACTCCTATGATTTGATTGATTTTAGATTTGGATGAGAAATTGGATGCAATGATGATCATTTTACATGGTGTAAATTCTCCAATCCAAGAACATGTGCATTGCAAATGGAGAGAACATCTCATACAGATGCTTGAAGAATTTGGCCAATCTTACCCTGTTTTAGCCATATCATATAGCCAACTGAAGTCCAAAACATCTCATGATACCTTTCACTCAGGAACCTTATCATCTAGTACATCAAAAACCATATGTGCTATCTGCAATAAGAGAGCAACAGGTAACTTAGAGGATAAAAAACTTGAGGTCAGTAACTACCATCCAAAATCTCCCTCAGAGCGTTCTGATATCAAAGTTGATGGTACTAACCTGGATTTTGAGCGATTAAACAAGCAAGAAGAGGAATGCCATGGATTGTTGTCAGCTGACCCATACAACATGAAACTTAAACAAGAACTTGAATGCAGAGACACTCAAATGGAAGACAGACTGACAGAATTTTCCACTAATGAAAATGTGTTTATGAAGATTGAGGATTTGGAATTAAATCAGAGAATTGAAGATCCATCAATGACCAATTTCAAATTTGACAATATGTGGTCAATGCTGAAGTATCAAATTACAAAACTTACAGAGGATAATCTGCAACAGTTGGTCAAGTTGGCCCAAAGAAATGATGAAAAGAGAGAAACCATAAGAAGGCTTCAGTTAGAGGTGGAAGCTCTGAAGTGTGAGAACAAGGCACTCCAGATTTCTTTAAGGCACTCAAATGCTGATTCAGAACGTGATCAACCACAGATATCAAGCCCAGGAGGAAGATCCATTGGCAAGCTCTTTAGAGGTTGCTCTCCATGATATTTTGTAGACTTTATGTCCTCACAATCATGTATTCTACACAAGCAACAAACTCTGACAAAAAATTCTATAATAACTTTGCTATGACATACTTTGTTCTTCAGTAAGCAAATGAGCACTTGGACTACTGACACCATTATAGGCACAATTTTACACGTTCTTGAGGATTTATGATACACTTTAATTCAAAACAGTTACTGTATGCTATCTGCACATAGTCCTAAAGTGCTCTCATTGTAGTACTATAACATTGTAGTTTCAAGCTGGGAATAACTGAATAAGCCATCTAAAAGACCAACTGAAATTTTTTCTTTATAAACTGGAGCTGATTGATCCACCATTCTTTCTAAAACAAATTAAATCAAGATAGATATTATGCATTTTCAGAGACCTTAATAATAGTTACAGGCATGTCAGGTCTTGATGAAATAATGTACACCCTACACCATAGATTCTGACTCTTAATTCAATTGCTGCGCCTGCACCATTAGTCCCCTCACGAATACAACCCATCCTTGAAATGTGGCGATCACTGCAAATTCAGAGATTTTTTATGACCTGGATTATTGATACTGAAACTGAATTCATGATTCCAAAAGCAACAGCTAGTTTCTCACTGTGAACTCCTGGAACCATTCCTTTCTCTTCCTCGTCAACATCATGAAGCACCAATGCAACATTTGGCATATAGCCAAATTAGCAGCTTGACATTTAATTTTTCCAAATACTCATAAATCTTCTCATGTTGAGAATGCCCTTGTCCCCAATGAAAAATATATGGATCCTACCTTTGAGTTAAACTATACTAAATCCTGGGGTTTTAAGCAATCCATGACTCTTCATCAATATCCTCATTCTCTCAACATCGTCCCACCTTCCAGCATCAGCATAAATATTGGCAAGCTGCACATAGAACCCACAATTACTTGGATCTAACTCAAATAGTTTTCTTGCAGAGATCTCCCCTAGTTCCACATTCTTGTGAATCCTACAAGCCCCAAGAAGGGAAGCCCAGATTATAAAATCTGGTCTCACTTTCATTTCCTGGATCAAATCATAAGCCTCATTAAGATAGCCAGCACGGCCAAGGAGGTCAACAATGCATGAATAATGCTCAATCCCAGGTTCAACATTAAATTCACATTTCATTCTATTAAACCAATGCCAGCCTTCTTTAAACATACCAGCATGGCTGCAAGCAGCTAAAACTGACACAAAAGTAATGTAATTTGGCTTGACCCCAGACCTTATCATCTTATAGAAGACTTCCATAGCCTCTTTTGCATGGCCATGCATGCCATAACCAGCAATCATGGCAGTCCATGACTTAACATTCTTCTCTTTCATGCGATCAAATGCCTTCCTTGCCATCTCAACTCTCCCACATTTGCAGTACATATCAACAATAGAAGTACCTATAAACACATTATCCTCCAAATCCATCTTTATAACCTATAGTACAAGAAAATAGCTAATGAGACCAATGATTCTCACCTAGGCACTAGCCAAATATTTTGTACAATAATACAATATTGGATCAAAATTATGAACAACATAGTTAAATAAAAAATTGTTCCCTATACTTGACAGTTGACACCATGTTTCGATTTGGTCCTTTATACAACAACAATAAAGCCTTATCTCATTAAGTGAGATAGACTACATGGACTATATGATGCTGCTAGGCTCGATTAAAAACTTAAATTTTTAGACATATGGTCTCATAATGTTTGATCCTTAAATAAAAAAGGAAAAAATTCTACATTTGGACTCTACAAAAAATAACATTTATAAATTGGTCCTTGCCAAATTATAACACTAACATATGTTTGCTGAATTTTACAAAATATTTGTCAACTCAGCAAACATCTAACACTGTCACAAATTGTTTGTCAACTAAATAAATATCTAACATTGTGTTAACTTTAACAGGTGGTTAGGACCAATATATAAATGTTTTTATCGAGTAGGGATCAAAATCAAAACGGTGTCTAAGGTTCAAACTTTTAATTTGACAAATGAACAAACAATTAAAGCCAAAATTTGTGAGTTCAAAGTTACAAACTAAAACAATTCGAGTAACATACCTGGTCATGTACACACTTCCCTAGCTGCAGAGCCCCTAAATTTGAGCAGGCTAACAGCACTGCAGATAATGTCACGGCATTATATCTGACCTCGCCATTCTTCACCATATCATCAAAAACACAAAGGGCCTCTGCCGAAAATCCATTCTGCGCATATTCACCAATCATAGAGTTCCAAGTATAAGCATCATTCACATCCATCCCATCAAACACTTTCCTAGACACACTCATCTCCCCACACCTAGCATAAGCATCCATCAAAGTGTTCCCAACCCCCACACACCCCTCAAACCCCCTCTTGATCACAAAACCATGAATCCCTTCAGTCACACTCTTCAAACCAACTCGAGAACACGCCGAAACAACCGAACCCACGAGAACGGCATCAACCAGAACCTCTTCCTCAGACCCAAAATCCCCACTCTCCTCAACCAGCAACTCCTTAAAGAGGTAAATTGCATCCCGGGCACGATCATTTTGAACATAGCCAGCAATCATGGATGTCCAAGACACCACATTTCGGTTGGAAATTTCGTCGAACAGTGCACGTGCATCTGTCAAATGACCACACTTAGAGTACATATCGATCAACGCAGAGGAAACGAATAGGTCGGAAGCGAAGCCAAAGACGAAGGCTTGTTGGTGGGTTTGTTTGCCAGAGCGAAGGTCAAAGAGTGCAGAGCATGACTTGATGGCGCAAGGGAATGTGGAACGGTTGGGATGCAGAGAGAGCTTGCGCATGCACGAGAAGGCGCTGAGAGCTTCCATGGAATCGCCGCTTCGGGCGAGGTCGGCGATGACGGAGTTCCAACTAGAGACGCTGGTTCTGTCCACGTATTTGCCGAACATGCTTTTGAGGTTCGCGGTTTTGGTCCATGCTGTGACTGTGGAGTGTCGGTGCTTCCCGTTTGGTGATGCACGTGCACGTGCACGCCCAGTTGATGTTGTTCTCAATGCAAACGAAATCATCATTCATGGACTCTTATAGTTCTGCTGAAGTTTCATGCATTCGTTACCGTAGGACCCTGTCTTTATGGTCACTGCCAATTATCGAGGGAGTTTTACGTAACTAAATTTTAATACTTTTTTACTTGTGAATTGAAAACTTGTCGCCCTGTCAGATGCGTGTGAGCGAGCGATAAGAAGAAGAAAACGGGGGAAAAAACGAAAAAGAATATATAATGTGTTAAAAAAAACAAGACAAATATAAAAAGAAAACAAAATGTATAACATCATAACAAAAAAATATTTAATATTATTATTAAATTTAATCGTATTTTTTGTCTTTATAGTTTAGCTTGCGTATAATTTTAGTTTTTTAATTAATTATTCACATTTCAAGTTTTGTAGTTTTTAAATGGTTTAAATTAAGTATTTTACTCTAAACTTTCATCTAATCATTTAAAAATATATAATAGAAGTGTAATATTATTGATTCATATAAATTAATAAGTTAAGATATAATTAGTTGTAATTTTAAAGTAGAAAAAAGTTCAAAGGAAAGTTACGCTATATTCTACCATTATTTAACCTGTAATTTACACGAGAAACGTTTTCCTAGTATTGGTGATTGAAAAACATTAAAAATTCGTAAAACTTGTACGAAAATCATTTCGGGCACTTCGATTTGCATTTCAATTTTCTACTTTCTTCCTTATGTCTGCATACAATTTAAAAGTTTAAATATCTAAGCTTTGCGTGTACATTATATGGCCATTAATAAGCGTTTAATACATTAAAGAAATGCGATATTCAAACTTGAAACATTCTGCATTTCAACACAGATATCATAGTCATTGCAATACCAAAATTTGAGAATACTAGCCATGCTGTTAACATCTTCAAATACATATAAAAGAAAAATAGAAGGAAAAAAAAAAACAGCTCTATACATTTTCAGCAGGTTCAGATCCATACGAGACCAAAGGGACTTCATCCTTCTTGAATGACACGGTATGCAACAATATAATAAAATATTGCTTCCAGGTGGGCAACCCCTCCCGAAGGAGGCTACCAAAAAAATACAAAGGCATGTTCTATCAGTAACAGCACCAGTACATACTATATTGATACATCATCAAATCTCCCGACCAAAAATTTTCCCGAACATAAAATATATTGATCGGTGACATCTCAATTGAAGAGTGAGATATATTTGCTAAAACAAAGAAATCGAAAGTGTCCCCCTAAGATAATGCCGAAACAGAACCATTTCCAGGAATGCATTCGTTCTCTAATTCAGAAAGCTCACTCTCAAAGAAGGCTTTGTGGAGAGTTCTGACACACTGCTCTGCCTCACTGTCATTTACAACTAACGAGATATTCACCTGGCGTGAAACAAAATAAAACAAATGATACATGAAAATGAAAACCTTTTAGAGTAATGATTTGCAGATAAATGCCGTTGCTTCAAGCTCAAAGCCTGAGTATGACAAACCAAAGTCTACAAAGCCAGGAAAAAAAAGTGTGAAATTGTGAATGAGGATATGTCATGCTATCTCATTAATGCAAAGAAGTCCTAACAAGTTAGAGAAATCTTTTAGATCACTTAACACTCGCCAACTGCACAAGGACAGATACAGGCCATTGCCTGTGACCAAAAACGAAAAAGCTATAATTTCTTGATAGCAACTGTAATGAAGAAACATCTGAAATTGATGAAGAGGGGGATACCTTAGAGGCACCCTGGGAGATCATTTGAACAGTGACCCCAAGAGTTCGAAGAACATGAAAAGCCTGCAATAATAAGCCAATCATTTTAAAGTCAATGAAAAGCAAAAACATAAACTTATTACAGAAGAACATAATCAACAAGTTGATGTGAATCAATTTTTTCCTGAAAACTGTATGAAACAAGTCACAGTATTTATTCCAATGAGCTGAGTTCGACAGCACCCCAACGCTTCCAGGGAATAAGAGAAGGCACTCAAAACGAAAAAAAATAAATTCCCCAAGATAGAGAGCAAAAGGGAGGGCCAGAAGGCCCAGATAGAGATATTATATAGCAATTAAATCTTGAAGCATCAAAATAGAAATAGTAAATCTCTGAACAACACTCAAATAGAGATAATATAATACAAAACCTTCTCCAATATCAGTGACGACCTCTGAACATTTCCAATGAGAGAAATTATGGATCTGCTCTTTAGGAGATTTACCACAGCAATTTTTTCCAGTTCTTCAACGACAAAGTCAAGTTCCTAGTTAAAGATAAAGAATGACAGCCAATTAGATTTTATGCAATGGCTGGAATGTAGAACAGGAGCATGGAGCAGGCACTTGTCTATATAAGTGTAAAACTAGGCGACCTAAACCAGATAGACATTATCTAACAGGTTCATCAGGGAACCTAAAAGAAGCAACTAGGCCCTATCCATGTAGGTGGGATTGACTACATCAATCAAATTACAAAATCTCATTATAGTAATATAACTCATCAACAAAAAAATTGAAAGAGCAAGATAACAAAAACAAAAATGGAACTATGGAAGTAAGGTACACAATGGCTTACCTGTTGAATTAGCTCTCTGCTCCACAGCTTTGATGGATCCAATGTCAAGGAAATACTGACTTCACTTGTAGCCACAACATCAACTGATATGCCTAAATCTTCGAAGATTGAAAACACCTGCATAAAAACAGAAATATGAAGATAGAAAGGGATTCAACCACTTGCAGGACTGGTTAGACAGCCATTAACTTTCTCACCTTAGCAAGGAAACCAAACTGACCAAGCATGCGAGTGCTTACAATATCCAACATGGTCACATTACGTTTCAAAACAATGCTAGTTAATAATGCCTACAGACAGAAATAGGAAAACATAACAGTTAACACTGTCTAAAATAATCTTTCAGATAATTGCATTTGTCATTTATGCCAAGACTTACAAACCTTGCTCATATCTCTTTTCTTGGTGATGAGAGTACCTGGAGCTTTAGGGTTGTAAGAATTTTTAACCCTAACAGGAATGTCACTTTCTCTAGCAGGTCTCATAGACTGTGGATGCAGGACCTGCAAATCAGAAATAATTCACACATTACTCTGATATCCAGAGGCCCATGTCATAATATAATCATATTTCTCATGTCAGTGTACTAGGTAAATAAGACAAATACATTGAGAGATGCACCTTTTAGCAATAGTACAAATCTAAGATAATTTGATGAGCCTAGTTATTGGCCCAAAAAACATTGATTTTTCTTAAACATTGTATAACAAACATAGATATCTATACATGGAACTTGACAGCATCCATCTTGGAAAAGTGGTCTTTATCATAATTTTCTAAGGATTGTCCATCTAATTCAATGTACTTCAAAACCAGACTTGGATAATCTGCTTCAAGTCAATGCATACAGTGAAATTGGTAGGAATTAGGATGACGTGACTAGCAGAAAACGACAATGCCAAAATCACTCACACCAAATGTACATGTACATGTGTTCTTTTATGTTCCCATATAGAAACAATAAGTTCCTCATCCATTCACCCTTTTCCCATTGCAAGAATTTTCAGGTGTTCGAAGGCCCTTCCTTGGGAGATCAAAGCTCATTGTTTGGTTGCTACTACAAAGATTGTTACTGAACAAGTTTATTAGCATTAAGTTCAGAATGGTGTATAGCAGTTTACAATATTAAAAATTCAGGAACACATGCAAGAATTTTGAAGGATCAGTTCCTGCAGTGTTATTAACTTCAAGACAAGATAGTCTTATAGTAACCCTGTCTGTTCAGTCACCACCATTCTTATTCAAATAATTACTTTAGGGGTATACAACTATAGATATCTTGTGATGATTATTCAGCAAATATTTAGGGGCTGTGTATGTATTAATCTATTTTTTTCATTATTTTTTATCTCCTTTTCCTTCTCATTTATCAATAACTTTACATCAAATTCAGATGAAATCAAACATAAAACACACAACGTGAAAACTTAAAGTCATCAAATGCGACCATAATCAAAGTCACACTGTCATGCTAAATCTAATGAATATTCTCAAAGTTCAAGACACACATTATTCAAGAAGATATATAAGTCATTGTGCATAATTGAACTAGCTTATGTTCAGTGAAAATAACCTCATAATCAAAATGTTACGGAGGGAGGTTCTGGATGAAAAATTAATTCCATGTTGAAATTAAGAAAAACAAAAAATGCTAGATTATATACCAGCAGTGGCTGACTCTCTGCTTTCTAGCAATCATATCAAAGGGGGAAAAAACCTTAAAACTATAGACATTAATTTTGAATCCACTCATAAAAGTATAAGCCCAAAATATGGAGGTTAAGATTTTGTGGAATCCAATCAAATTAATTCAGAATGAAAAGTTGCAGGTTCACAGGACTATCAATATGTGCAAGTCAATCTTCAATCGTGCCCGATTTAATTTTATTTAGTCAACAGCACTTGAATGATGGAATAATAAATTTTTTTGAAGATTTTGGTGAACATTTGGTGTCTACCTTCACTTTGGATCAGTTTCTTCTAATACATTTCAAGGGTTTCTTCTGGTAGATTTGTTGCTGTGTTATGCGGCTCTCTGAACATTATGGTTTGGTTTGACTCTGATTCATAAAGTCAACCCACTTAGTGGGAAGAGGATTATGTTGGAACTGTTGATGTTGTTGTTTACATGGTCCTCAGAAGTATTTGTATGGAGCAGAATAGTCATACCTTCAAGGCATTTCTTTACCCTCAACATGTGTTATGCCATAGAACTGTGTTAATGACTTCTATCTGAAGTTCTCTTCATGATTTTTTTAAGAGAGATTCCCTTTCTGGTATCTAGAGAAATCATTCAGCTTTCTTGCAATTAGCCTTGTAGAATCCCTTTTTTAGTATCTCTATTTTGGGGGACCCCTACTCCTCCCTAGTCTTAAATTTGAATATTAAATTTCCTCTTCTATTAAATAAGTAAAACCACAGAACATTTATTAAGTAATTAAATATAAACAACAATGAGTCAATGACTATAATCAAGCCTTATCCAACTATGTCAGATTTGTAAAGAAAATATACATTTTAAAATATTATTTCTGATGCTTTGCATTACAAATGTACAACAATGAAAAGTGTCTTTGGACAACAAAGCAGAACCAAGAAATCTTGATAGAATCCTTCGACGTTTTTATACCCATGAGAAATGGCACATGGGATGTTGTCAACAGAACAAGATAAGTAAATATAATGATACCTGAGCACCAAAGTAAGCAAGTTCAGCAGCCTCGTCAAATGTCAAATATGGAACAGGTTCTGCTTGTGGGCATAAATTTGGATCACAGGTTAGAACGCCATCAACATCTTTCCATACCTGTTGAGGGTATTCAAATTAACTATTTTCTTTTTAGACTTATACCCTCTAGAAGCTATGGAAATTATGCATAAAATAGTTGCAGTTTTTCATGCTAGTATTTTGCATTATGAAGTCAAGAATACACTTTCATTTCCTACATCCAGAATTAATTCCAACACCTAAATCTAACAACTCATTCAATACACAAAGCAAGTGCACTGACACTCTGACAAGATGCTGACTTGCACAACTAAGCTTGTGTACAAACCTGGATTTCTGGCAACCCTAGTGCTTTGCCAATTGTAGTAGCTGTCAAATCACTGCCCCCTCTTCCCAATGTTGTCACTGCACACGATTTACGTGCCTGCAAGAAGAAAAGAGTATTGCACTTGTAACTTGAGAATTTCTTATATTAGCAATTTAAAAGCCTGGAAAACTGGAGAAGGTATGTGGGCAGGGGGATAGAGGAACCATTAAAAATGTAAGGCATCACAAAGACCTTTCCAAGGAAGCCTGTAACAACTGGAATTGCAGGATCAGATACCCAATCACTATGTAACCTCTTTGCAACAGCAGGGTATGTTGCTTCCAAAATGTCCGCATTTGTGAAGTCATCAGTAGTTATAAAACCAATCTCAAATGCATCATACTGCCAGTCCATTAAATTAGCATTTAGCAGCAATTACTATGATCAAGATTCAGAGTTAGACTATTCTTGTTAGAAATTATAAAACTAACTTTGTTGGTTGCCAAGTGTAATTATGTATTAGATAGGGAAATAAGAAAACATACTTGGCGGGCCTTAACACCTATTTTATTAAGATATGCAGCAAAGATCCTAGTGGACATACACTCTCCAAATGAAACTAAATAGTCTTGAGTCCGCGGTGTCATCTCTTTCATCATAGCTATCCCCTTCAAAAGTTGCTCCAATTCTTCTAGATGCTCTGGAAATGTTTCCACACACAAAAAGATGATATGAGAACAGACATATGAAAATTGCTTGAACATGCACACTGAGAAGAAATAAAGCTTGTGGTAGAATTAGTTCAATCCACAAGTTGATAAAATATAATAAAAAAATTGCATGAATAAAGAAGCTCACATGCTATGTCACTTTTTCCTGTAACAATAATCATCATTATGAATTAAAATGTCGCACTCATGCATAAGATTTCATCATGCAACCCAATGCACATAAAATACAATACTGCCTCGGGTAGGTTACATAAAACATTGCTAATCTTGAGAACAAAATAACAGGGTTGCCACCGCCCTGCTTTCAAGGAACATTCAATATCAAGCAACCATACCAGAGTAACCTCTTTAAGCAAAACTTCTTCAGGATATATTCTTAAATCCTGAGCATTAATATAATAATACACAAACAAAAATGAAAATACAAAAACTGCAGAGTAAAACAAGCAGTAACTAGCACGAAAATGTATTGCTAAAAAACAAATTTATTCAAACAAATGTTCAACACCCATAAGCTTATTGGAGAGACACATATATTTATAGACATAACATTGTGGGTGAGCCAATTTTATAAGAAGGTTTATTACAAAAGAAACTGCTTCCAATGTCAGCCAAAAGTGATCAAATATGGAAAAAGGTAGCTCACTTGCAATAACATTTCTGTCCACTCCAAGCTCTTCCACAGTCCTAAAATAACAACACACAATGACACATAAAGAACTTATAAGTCAACAAACAAGAAAAAGTGATTTTCCTTTATTTACTCATTTAAAACATTTTCACTAGACTAGGAAAACCATAGAGGAAAATGGATTGACCTTACCTTATATGCAGGTCTTTTATAACAGCGAGCTCATCAATACTGTTGGCATTAGTTACTCCACAACTTACAGCTTTTTCTCCTGCCTAACAAGACAAAAAGTAATTCCATTTCTTTCAACCACAGTTCCATATTCAGGGTTTTAACTTTTAAATTGCATACTGCACCACCACATGATGCAATGGGATGGCAATGCAATTGAACCGAACACTATGCTATTGCCAAAAAACATAAAATTTATTACTCCCTCTGTCTCATATTAAATGTCATTTGAATACTTTTTACTAGACTCAAATTATTTGTTAATTTAAAATATCAAGAAAGCAACAATTCTTTTTTTTTTCCCCCAATAATATTACTCTTCCTGTCAACTAACTACTGCAACAACTCCCACATTTTAAATATAGGTATTTAGTGAAATTAATTTATTTTACCATAGTAACTAGTAAACTAATCATTTTCTTAAGACGTGTGCATTAGTACTAAGTAACATCTAAAATGAGACAGAAGGAGTACAAAAACGAAACACGGAAAGACACAATACCAGTAAAAGCATGTTAGTTGTCTTTCCCATGGCAGAGAGAACAATGATAGGCCTCTCATCAGGAAAATTTTGTATAAGGCTTGCAACTTCTCTCATCCTCTCTGCATTGGCCAATGATGAGCCACCAAACTTCATGACACACGTGTAACTCTTTTCAGTTTCGGCGAAACCGCCACTTCCACCTTCGTTTTTCTCAACCAAATCACTTTCTGGTGCCTTGCTGCAACTAACCATGAGTGTTACCACCCTCTCATTTAAAACTCTCCTTACACAACAACACACAAGGGGAACGGAAGCAACATTTGCTGCAAACCCAATTCGCCGTGACAATAACAGCGGTTGACAATGCACGCTTCCACTCAAAGCCACAGGGAACGTGGTCTTAACACAACTAAGCTGCATCGTGCTTGATATGCTTATACCAATGAAAATGAGTTATTTCTACGAATGACTCAAATCGAAAACAACCATAAACAAATAAAAATTTTAATTGTTTGTGTCAGTTATTACTCAAATGCTTCATTGCCCAAACCTCGATCTGCGAAAAAGAATCCAATTCTCTCCATTCAGTTACCATGGATGGAAGATCACTCAAAATTAAGGAAAATGTTAAAAAAACCAATGGTTTAGGGAGTCTAAAACTAATACCTTGTGAGAAAGAGTTTGGTGTTGAGAGGGCGAAAATGTACGATAAGATGGAAAATTTGAGGAAGGTTAGGGTTCAGGAACGATTGTTTTGTAGAGAGATAAGAGGAAGAGTGGTGGAGGCGATTTTGACCGGGAACTCTGTCTGGAGTAACTGTCTGTAATAGCAGAGAAAGTGTGACACCCTCGTGGCGGCTCTTCTCTTTTTCTTTCTGAAACTACCTCGTGAAACGACAAAAACGTGCTATTTTCCTGCATATTTTTTTAATCAATAAAAAAAAAACTTTACTAGTTTGATTTTTTTTTTTTTAATCTTCAGAAAAGAAATTAATCTCTCTAATCATTGTTCAGAATTATTTATCAAATTTATTAAGAGGTTTTTTTAAATCTTGAACTATTTAAACGGCATAGTTTATTGATTTTACTAACCTTTGTATGTTTTTTTAACAAATATTTTTACTTTTAATTCCGCACTCGATCAATATTACAAGGACAAACAGACATTAATAAAAGAATAATAATTAATATTATCTTAAATTTTTGTACAGATACATAAATAGGAATGGAGGTAGTATAATTTAACTTAATTTAGAATAGTTTTGTGTAATTTAAAGTTTGGTGATAAAATATTTATGATTTTAAAAAAATTAAGAGTAAATATTTAAATTAGTCTCTTAAAAAAAAGTAATCAAATAGCTTTTAAAAATTCCATCCACAAAACTCACAAAAATAAGTTTTGTAAAACTTTAGTTTTTTTGTTTTATTTTTTATTTTAAAGAGTATTTTTATTTTGTGTTTATGTATAAAAACAAGTCTTAAAAGTAAAATAGGCCTAACGTATATGTTACATTGGGACTTGGAGGAAAGAAAAGAAAAGCATGAAGAGAGTATAGGAAAGGTTGGAACTTGTATAAGTCCTTTAGTAAATATTTTAGAATTTTATGATTGAAAAAGAGATATACTAAAATTGTAAAAGCTAAAAAAAACAAAAGACGTTTTTTTATGGAATTATATAAAAAGTTTATATAAAAAAATTAAGCAACTTAATAGCATTGCACCATTCGAGATTATGCTCTTAAAAGTCATTATTATTACTGAAAAAAGCAATCATAGAATTCATTATACCAAAAATATGTTGTAGTTATGGGTTAAAATATTTACAATGTCTTGTAAATAAAAAAAAACATTTGATGTCATCTCACACATTAAACAATTATCATCATTAATATCAATAGATAATGACATTAGTAATTTATTTAAAAAAAAGTAAATATTTTTTAATTTCTAAGATATTAGAAAAATTATAACCATTAATCTATTTAAGAATATATAATACATTCTCAAGTTTATACATACCGTAACAACTATTTTCTATAAGTAAATGTTTTAAAAAAAACTTTTAGAATATTATTTTAGAAAATAAAAATTATTAAGTATCATCTAACTAATTAACAGTCCAATTAGTCAATTTAAGTAAGTTACCTAACATAATTAAGCAAAGAAATTGATCAAACATATGAATGAAGGGTAGGTCAGACTTGTAATACTCACTTATATATGGTTAATTTCTTTCTAATTTATTTAAAAAAAACTAAAAATAAGGAGAAAAAGGTACTAAATAAAGAAATGTAACTGCAGAGAAGTACATACTATAAAAGTACCAAAAATTTATTCGAATATGAGAGAAATACAAGGGTTAGTATTCTCTCGCGAGAAATTTTTAAGTGATTTGAAGACATGTGGTCTACTTTTTTCCAAAAAATGCATGTGTTGTGTTATTATTGGTTGAGATCATGGTGTTTCGAGACCATAGAAAAAAATTCTCATTTCCTTGCAATAACAAGTGGTGTCTTCATATATAATATTGATAAATTAACTCAATTGAACGATGCCTTCGTTATGTGATGCATTAATAGTGTTCTTTTTCTGGCTTTTACCGTTTTACATTTTCTTTGAAATCCCATTTCACTGTCCGTGTAACAAGTTTAAAGAAACTACAGATAGAACAAGTTTATTACTACTAAACCGTTAATTAGAAAGTAAGGAACAAGTAGGCATCATAAGAGCCAGCGGGATGGCGTACAAAGAAGAGTTTTAGTCATACTTATTGAACTCAAACCAATTGATTTGATTCAATCTTTTAGAAAGTGAAAGCCTCGGTAGCCCAAAAGAATAAAACCCATGCATGGCAGAATTATATTCACAACCAATATTTTTCTGCCACAATGCGTTAAAGAACTTGCTATATAACTATCAATTAGTTTTAACTTTGAAAGGGCCAGATTACGAGGACTACTTAAATTTTAGGTGAGTGGATTTTTACTCCATGCATTGAACTGTACTGATTTTTCAATTCTAGTCCCGATTTTTGCTCCCAAAACCTTTAAGACTGTACCGAGTGGCATCACATTCAAGATAAATACGCAAGGAACTAGATTGGGAATGAAAAGAAATAGAACAATTTATTCCATCACTTAAAAATAAAGTTAACAACATAAGTTCAGTTTTGTCAAAGGCGCACGATTGAGAAAAATATCAAAGCTAACTCCTCAACCTACAGATTAGCTAACCTATTTTCTGATCTGGGCCTAAACAGGAAGGCCTTTACAAAGGGGAACAAGAAGCAATGCATTTACAAACTGCAAGCTACAGCAACTACAGTTAGTACCTCTATAAGGGTAGCATTTATCAAGCACTTCAATTACATCGTACCATGGAATCCTGCTGAATCCAAGAGCACAGCTTTAATTTGCTCAGGGAGGACATCCTGGCCTTCTCTGCATTGCTGGTAAGAAACAAGAAAGAATATATATCAAAGTCATAACTTCAGACGCTATAAAGCTAATGATTGGTATGCCCAAAAGTGAAATGCCAGAAACTTCAGAGCAAACACCCTTCAAGTCTAAAGTTAATCTTCGCACTTCTAACTAAGGTCTGCGCTAAAACTCAGGTCCCTCTCATCTAATGCACACCTTATGTATTTGATAAGTGGGATTGGGTTCTCAAGCTCAGGTATCATGCCTGCGTCTTAACCAACTATTCTGTTCTGCTATCAAGTTTCTTTCATTTCATGACAAGCATCAATAATGAAAATCAAGGCAAATTAAAAATATATATGTTCAAGTGAAACTTGGCACCGGTGAAAGAGTTATACCTCAGCTCTGAACACATCTAAAGCAAAGCCATTGAAACAACTAATGACAGCCTGCTGAACATCCAATCCAAGGTTATCCAGAGCCCTCATGGTAGAAAGCAAAAGACCTGGTCGGCGGGTACAAAACATATGAATGTTGACAGCTCTCCCTTCCCTTACTCTAACTTCCACCTATAAATTTCAGAAACAATATAGTCAAGTTAAAACAATTTCCTTGATTACCATGCAAATATATTCAGCGATCATAAAAATTGATATCAAAACTAGTTGGCAATCATTAGTGTGGACTAATACACTTATTGGAATACAAATTCTGGATCTGGTGGGCCTCCACTTCAGGTTTACCAGATCCAGAAGGAGCAGTAGTGGAAATATGTCGGGGAAGTCTGTCAGCAAATAGAAGTAGGAGTCTAACTGAAATACAAGTGCAGCAGGACATTGAAGAAGGGTTCTGGAGGCATGAGGAGAGGTGTAAATTAATTTTCTCTACTTTCATTACTGCAATTGAAGTATTGTCCTATTCTTTTTCCTACTATACCAGTTTTAATATTAGGATCAATCATAAAATTTGCAGATCCACACCATGCCATCAAGACCACTTATAACTTACAAGCTCATTTTGTAATACAATTACAAAAATCTGAGATTTGTCGATATCAGATTGATTTGTTAAGAGTGCAAATACCAATTGGTACAAGTATGTCCAAAAAAAAAAAAAACACAAATGCTATGAAAGAACCAATTCATGTAGTTTCAAATCAATTCTATCTTGATTCAGTTTAGAACATTCCAACAATAGGTATACCATATAACTTTGGGACTACCTCAACTAATCAGCCCATTTGGTAGGTTAATGGAACAACTATTTTTGGAAACAACAACAACAAGAGTCTTATTCCACTAGATAAGGTTGGCTACATAAATCACACGGTGCCATTGAGTTTTTTTTTTTCTGGAAAACAAAAGCATTTTTGTTTTTCCGAAAGCACTGTCAGGAAGCCAGAAAATATTATTACTTCTCTAAAATAAGCTAAACCAAACCCGTAATTTGCTTGACTAACAAACGAATTTTGATCTGAGTCAGACCAGCTTGATCTTTTCCATCTAAATTGGCCCAGCCCAGCGTGCTTGCCTGTTTGGCCAGCCCACATAATCCTTGAGACAGACTATTTTGAGGCTTTTTTGTCAGGCCAGTATGGCCCAACCAAAGGAATTTGTCTGGGTAAGCCAATCCACATAATAGGTCTAATTCCAGCCATAATTTCCAAGGAACTTTGAGGTTATTCTTGCTGTTTGAAGCTTACAAATGCTGTGTTTTCTTTAAAGAAAATTTGAAAAAATTTAGGGCTTGTTGTGTAGGATTGCAATCATTCAAACTATTTTGCTGGGTTATCTTTCTCAAAGTATCAATTGTGACATAATTTACATGGTCTGCATAAAACAAACTGCAATTTTGGCATTCGTATAAACAACAATTTTGCAACCAAATCAATAAATCTAAGATACCTTGGCAGCTTGGTTTTTAGGACTTGGCAGGGAGCCAGGATATAGTTCCTCCTTGACCCGGCAAGGAAGGGTTGGTGGAGTGGGTGTCAAAGGGTGAAAGCTTGAAGAAGCTGGCAGCAATGAGCCAGGTGGAGTCGACTCTAGCTCATTATGAAGATCATTAATCCGCTGCAATAGCTCCTTCAAGTAGTCAATTGCATCCCCAAGTATCGAGGCCCTATCCATCTACAAACAAACAAAATCACATAAGCATATACAATTCCAAACACAAGTGCCTTGTTAACGCTAATAAACTAGTCAGTGGCAAAAATCACACTAACACGTTACTCTAAACTACAAAAGTAAAGATTCATTAAAATTGCCATGAATACAGAACTACACACCAGATTCCCTCCAAACATAAACAAGTTACAAAAAGCTTGAAACTTTTTTCTGGAAGAGAAAGAATAAAAATACATAATTCATGATATTTCGAATTATATATTACAGAATCAGTAAGTAACTCCGTAACACCACAACGGAAAAAGTTAAAAATATATATGCATTTACAAAAACCAGAATACTTTTTCATACCTTGCTAATCTTGGGCACAACAGACCTAAGCATGTACAACCTATCATTGAGCTTCTTCCTACGGCGCCTCTCAGCCATGAGATTTTTGGCGGGTAGGCCCTTCTTCTTCCCCTTGTGATCTCCACCAGTAACAGTGACAGTGTCACTCGGATTCAAACCATTCCCATTCTCAATTTGGTCATCAGAATCATAAGCATCAACGTCAATGCTATTACCTTCTTCGCCTTCCCCTTCTTCCCATTCCCTCCCCTTCCTCCTCACAGTCTCCAAGCCCGGAATCTCCACCGAACCTCGCCGCTTCTGGAACAGCGTCGGTTGCGGCGCCTCCAAGGGCTTGAGAGCCTTGGCTCTGCTCGGAATGAGGGCTCCGAGTTCTCCGAACTCGGAGCCCGTATGGGCCGGAGAAAAGCCCATGAAGAGAGGGGAATTGGAGGAGTGGTTCCCGGGTAAAAAGCCAGCTTCGAGGCCCAAATCGAAGCCGGAGTCAAAAGTGTTGGTGTTGAAGAAAGGGAGGGAGGGAGAGGGGTCGAGAGGGAAAGAGTCGATGTTGATGCTGTGAGGGTGCATGAGGAAGTTATCGGTTGGTGTGGTTGTTGTTGTTGGGTTAGGAACAAAGGGGTTGCTAATGGAAGAGTTGAAGTAGCAGTGAGGTTGAGGTTCGGGTGGAGGTTGGGGCTGTTGAAGCATGGATTTAAAGGAAGTGAGAGGGGCAGGCATGGAAATGGCAATGTGGTGTTGGTCGTGATTAGGTTCGGAGTAGGGTGCGGTCCACGACGCTGCTTCTTCTTCTTCCTCTTCTTCTTCAAGTTGAGGTTCCATCCATGGAAGTGAAGGAAGGGGTAAGGGTAGCGTGTATCTCTCCATGAGAGAAAAGGGGGAAAAGCGAGGAGCTTTTTGTTTGGTTTTGGGGTCAGATTCAGAACCTCATTTGGGCCAAGAAAGATGCAGAGAAAAGGGAAATTCAGAGTTTGGAACGTTAAGTTTACTGTGTCCAAAAAATGAATGGAGAGGGAAACGGCTGGTAGGGTGTGGTTTATCCATGTGTGTCTGTCTGCCTCTGTCCCTCTTGATATTTTATTCCCACCCAACTATCCTCTTTTTTATGTTTTATCTCGACCCAGATTAAATATAAATAATTAATAATAATAAAATTTTATTATAAATAATTATTATATTTTTATAACTTTAATGCATTTTTTTATAAAAACATTTTATTTATAAATGTTGAATTAAAATCAGTTCAACAACTAAGATTAACAAAAACTTTTATACGTTCAGTTTACAGTTACAACTAAAGATTTTTTTTCCAAAAAATCATCAAAATAATATTTTTAAGCTTAAATTAATAAATAATCCTTAAAAATATATAATTTTTATAAATAACCCTTATAAATTTTTGTAAAATTTTAATTTTAATTAATATTGAAATAGTCTTTATTATTTTAATTTTTTAAGATTTTTTTTATCATTATATTGAATGTCAAAAGTATTTTCCTATTTAAAATCTGATAATCACGTTTCAAACTTTCCTAATTTAACTGTGTAAAAAAAAATAGTTCATATTCTTATATTTAATATGAAACGAACTTATTAAGAATAAACATTCATATTTCATGAGAATAATAAAATAAGCCTTCTTATTTTATAAAATACAACTTTTAACTATTTTAAATTTTTTTAACAAAAAATAACATTTTAACTTTAGATAATAATAAGATTTAATAAAAAAAATATTTACAGAATTAAAAACAAACAATTTTAATAAAAAGTAATTTTAAAAATATTTTTTAAAAAATATTTTTTTAAGTTTTATCACATCTGTGCCTGGCATTTCATGTTACCAGTATTATGTTAAATAATATTAACTTAGACTTAATGATACTATATTAATTAATAATAAGAACCATTTTAAAAAAAAATAAAATTGACAATTTTTTTATAAAAATTAATTCAAAAAATATTTTATGAGACTATTGCTTTATTTACACGCACTAAGATAGAATGGAATCCATCCCTTTAACTCTTAACATCGTATTATCAGTGATCAGACTGTAACTGCTAGCAGTCTTGACTTGGTATTTTAGTTTAGAACCTTATCAAATGTAATTTTCGTTACTTTTAAATATTAATTAAAAATAATAAAAGTTAAAGATTAAAATAAAAATGGATAACAAAAAAAAAAAGATTAAAATAAAAATTATAAATAAAAACAATAAGCATTTATAACATTACAGATAACAATAAAAGTTTACATCTTTTATTTCTCTTCACAATCCAAATACTTAATATTACTCAGAACTTATCTTTTTCAGTACAATTATTAAAAAAAAATCTCACCCCTTTTTCGTATCCATAACAATGAAAATAATAACGCTTTTACATCTTTCACACGATATTTGATAGATAAATTTAAAAGAATATTGTGATCTAACAGTAATCTTTTAAAATTTTAATTTAAAAATTAACTCGTTGTATTAATTATTATATCTCACTTTTAATATGTATAATTTAAAAATAAATTGCATAATAAAATTGTACAAAAAAATATCCAATAATGAGAGATAGAAAACTAAAAAAAATAAAAGAAAATAAAATGAGTGATTTGATAAAGAGATAAATATTAATAATTTAAAAAAAATGTTTTACAAACATGTATAAATAATGTAACTCGTTTCTTACGTCAGAATTTCAAATTTGAAGTCTAAACCAAAATTAACTTAAGAGAGTGATAGCATTCAATGAGATCCAATGTTTAAATATCTGTTTAAATATCCAACGTACACATATCAGAGGTTCTCTGAAACGGCCATTAGAGCGTTAAAGTTCACACGCATAACCGGAAAGAAAGCAACAATAAGGATTACTTGCCAATGCAGACTTTGCCACTAACCTTCTTCAGTGCAGTTTTACTTTTTCAAGGTACAAGTAGTTGCTTCCTGGTCCACTTCACTCCAATGTCTTTTTTTTTTTGTTAGGGTATGTCATGGGAATTATGTTTAATTATTTTGGTTATTTATTTATTTTCTATTTTAAAAAATTAAAATTATTTATTCATAATAATACAAATTTCTCCCTTTTTTTCTACAATATTTAACTCCCAGATTCTGTACTGCTAAATAGGATCCATCCACCCTTTTATTTATCAACCAAGACATGTATAAAGAATCTACCATATGCTTGAACTAATTTAGTCTTTAATAAACATTTACTTATATTGTCATTTATTACCATCCAAAAATGATCAATTGTTAAGATAATTAACTTTTGTTAGTATAATATTTAGCTAACAAAAACTAAATTATTAATATAGACAATATTTATATTAACAAATTATGTATTGTACCAACACTTGATATATTGATAATATATATTAATTTTTATTAACTAAATTATTTTTTGGTATAAGATCTTTTTTGTCAGTATAATATTTTAAAAATTTATACAATTCTTTTTGTTAGATAAATACCATACCAATAAAAACTATCTTAAACTTGGATGTTTTTATTTATTAATTAATGGAATTTTATGTGATCAACATAAAATAAGTTAATATAAAGACAGATTACATACATGAAAATTGTTAAGTAAAATAAGTACTTCTCATCAATAGTATGAGCATATTTAGTTTTAACTTGTATAAAGCTCCAGAATAGCAAGTAATTAAAATAATTCATGCAAGTTTATACAAATAACTTATAATTTTAATATATATTTTTTGGTTTATTTTCATGTAATTTCATATTATATATATACTTATGATATACATTATTATATAAAAATATAAAATAAACACTTAATTAATAATTTATTAATTTATAAACAATTATTCATTGTAAATGCTTAGGTTTAGTCACGAGTTAGGAAAAAAGACTCCTTTTTTGTTATGCTATAATGTTAACATGAATTTATTATATAAAAATGGTTGTTTATTAACAAATAAAATTTAATAAATATTAAGATAAATTTTACTAGAATAATGTTATCTAATAAAAATTAAATAATTCATAAAAACTTTTGTTTTATATTAACCAATAATATAATTTACTAATATCTGTTATTGATAGTATATATTAATGCTTAATATTAATAAAAATTATTTATCAGTATAATATATCATATTATTAATAAAAACATAAAATGTCTTTATTAATAATTTTTTAATTTTAGTGAAAAACTATATTAATGAATACTAATCTAATAAAATTTTATTAATAAATGAATTATTTTTATAGTGATTCTTAGACATACACAAAAAAGTTATAAAATATAATATGTTGTTCTAAAAAAAGAAGCCCAAATATGTAAAATATTATTCAATTTCATACAAATATGCAATATAAGTAATAAAGTTTCATTACTTAAACATAAACAACTAATGTTATATATAATATTACAGATAATTTTTAATTTTCAATTTTTAAATATATATTTAAAAAAATTAATTAAGAGAAAAATTGTCCCACTTTAATGTTTATGAAACATTTTCTTAGATATAGTTCTCCATTTAAAGTGGAATACGATATTTGTCTGTATGAAAATATTTTCAGACCTCCCATAACCATAAATGAAGAAGTCCCTCCTTCATTCTTAAGCATTCAAAAACAAATCCCAACGATGCAATACCATAGTAAGATATGTTAATGTGAAAATAAAACTATCTAAGCAAAATTTACAAATGATAGCAATTAAACTACTCGTAAAATCATAGTATTTTATTAAAAGTTTTTCAATCTTAAATAAATTAACATACAGTATTGTTATGATTATCATTTTTTTAAAGAAAAATTTAATTTATGGTGTAAGAATAGTTGATGAAATATCTAATAAGTTGTCAACGTTAAATCATAAAATACAACATTGTTATGGATTTTGAACAAGTGGTATTTCCATGAGCCACAGTGGTTGTTGACAAGAAATTGAAACCAGAAGATCAAATTAAGCAGCACCAGCAGCCACTCTTTAATGAAATCACAAGCTTGTTACATGTCCTTATAATTTGTTTTGATTAGTTTATATTTTGAATGATCTCTGACATACATGCATGTATTCAATTATTCATGGTGCAGGATAGATGTACAGGATTTACTCTTGGGGATCAGAAAGGGAAAAGGTAGGAAATGTATCCACTACAAATAATATTTTTTATAGAGCAATTTTTTTCTCTATCTTATTATTATTATTATTGTTTTCAAAATATACACTTAGTACTAGTTTCTTTCATTGAGGCGCCAAGTCCATAAATTGCATGCATGTTATAGATATATCAAGAGTTGCTATTTATTCTCTTTTTTTCATATCTCTTTTTTTTACTATTAAATAAATTCAAAGATTTAATTTGATTTTTCCTTACAAGTGAATTTTAAATAATTAATACAGGTAAAAGTCAAACCAATAATAACATATATATTTACAAAGCCATATTATATCATCATTTATCAAGTTAGTTTATCCTAGCATAGGGTTATGGTGGGCTTGAATAAAGAAGCTGAAACTCAAGTTGTAATTTGAACCAAGCATTATTCAAAGTGGAGTCTGGAATAAATTTTTGGAAAAAAAAAGAAAAAAAGCAAGCTTCTCGTGACCTTTTTTACCCCTCGTTTTATCATTCACACCTACTCTTCAATCAAACTTGAAACTCTCATCCTAACTTTTCAATTCCCCCTTGTTCAATGCTTGCTATATCTCCCTTCTACTTGTCCCTCTCTCCATGTATATGCAAACTAACCTTGCAGTTTTTTAATCAAATTTCTAAGACATTAAAAGTTTATAGTTAAGAAAGTTGAAACGACTACATCAAATCGCATTGGCTTGTGCCATCAATTTAGGATTTTCTATTTCAAATTGTGTTTCAACATTTTAAAAATAATCTCTTAATTACTAAATAGATATAATATACAATATTTCTTTTATATTTATAAGATATTAATTATTTAGTTTTATTTTTATATTTTTTTAAAATATTAAAAATGTTGTTAAAATTTTATAAAAGGGATATATCATTTATCTTTAAA